TCACCATCAGCTTTACTTGTAGTACCAATAGTAGGTACCTCAACTTAAAAGGAAAATTTATCTATTCGAGGAAAATCTAGAGATTTATTATGTATTTTGATCAATTTTTCCTGCATTTTTTAAAATTTTTGCCTGTTCAGCGCGACTGCTCGAGAACCAGCATTCTGCTCAGTTATAACGAGCATCTATTTTTTATCTTTAATCTTGTTATATACTTACCTAATTATTGCTATATTATTTTACATACTTTATTTTTATTTTTTTAATTATTCAATTGTTTTTTTTTTTATAAAAATTAATTTTCCAATTTGCAATGGTTGCGCATGCCTGATTTTGTTGGAAAGGAGTGTCTACACAACAATAGTTTTATATTTAAATTTTTTTCTTTGCAAGATACTCGCTTTTTAAAAGCATTTAATATTCCAAAATTTGGTGAACCTGATACTGTAAATTCTTGTCTCGATTTTGATGTGAGAATGTCATTATTCCCGCACGCAAAATCATTGAAGAATGAAGCTCATTCTTCAACGATTTTTAGTGACATTTAGTTTTCAAAGTATACCCATCGGTACCATCAAAATTGTCAAACCTTTCAAAATAATGAAATCTATCTGTCAGTTGGTAAGTAAGTGTCACCAACTGACATATTTTGCAAAAAAAAAAAAATCCAACAAAAAAAACAGCGACGACAAATTTTTGTTAAAAAATGAAAAATAAAATCCAAAATCGAGAAAATAGTATAAAACTCACGTTGCAGAAGGCTATTCCCGCACTCATTCGTTCGTCCACTCGCTCCTTCGTCGCTCGTGTCCAAATTTCGAATTCGTGCGGGAATATGTAGCCTTCTGCAACTTGTATTTTAATATACTATTTTCTACGAGCTTGCATTTTTTATCACTTTCCCGCACGCATTTTAATTCCGAAAATGTCACTTTCCCGCACTAGTGCGGGAAAGTGGCGGTCAGAAGTGTCAGTTTTGTTAATTAATCAAACATTTTATCAATTTTGTCTACATACATTTTTGCTATTTTAATCCATATTAATCTAATTTGTGGATCTTTCAAAAATTTTATAATTTTTTTTGACATTGTATACAGGTATGGTTTTTTTAACGTTCCCATGACGCCGTGCGCGAAATGCTACTTTATATATGTGCTACTTGTATATATACTTGTATATATACATGTATATATACTTGTATATATACTTGTATATATGCTTGTATATATAATTGTATATATACTTGTATATATACTTGCATATATACTTGTATATATACTAGTAAATAAACATGTATATATACTTGTATCTATACTTGTATATATATGTATTTTTCTTTGGAAGGCTATATGTATTTATTATTCACAACCAACTGGTATGACATAAAAGTTTGTATGCACCACGGGTACTAATAGATATATAAACCCTCGGGCGGTTACGAACCCTCGGGCCAGAGGCACTCGGCTTTGTAAGACTGCCACCCTCAGGGCATAATCATATACTTATTACCCTTGATACATAAATAACTATTGTAGATGAACGATTTCTCCAATAATATATCGCTTTGAATTTACTTAATTTTTATTTTTATATTAGAACGCGCTCGTAGAAAAAATAATGTTCCTTACTCATGCGGAAAGTATCACTTTCCGCACTTGTTAGGAAAATAACTATTCTGGGTACCTATTTCCCAAGATCATCATTTGAAGTGGAAACAAAACTTCCAGCAAAATTTTAAGATTGGCACATTGATTGTCGTTAAAGAAGATGGCCTTCCACTACTTAAATGGAAGCTAGGACGAATAACTCAAATAAACCCGGGAAATGATGGTGTAATACGATCAGTAACTTTCAAAACTTCATCACGCATTTCAAGAGACCGGCTCTTAAAGTCTGTATTTTACCAAATAAACACTAAACCGTATCGCGAGTGCAGACATTGGGCGTGTTTGGGTTGACGCTCGGTGGAGCGAGCAGAGCGATTACGGAGTAACCTGACGTCATAGCGAGTACACCGTGTCAAGCCAAATAAACTTGTGCATAAATGCTGGGTTGAGCGATCAGCTGATTATTGTTTATTTTTCTTAGCACATATTAGGCAATTCAAACCACGTGACATTCAAGATGGCGTGGCGGCCACACATGGGCCAAAAAACACTAAAAAATATCTAGTATCTGCCCGAATTAATAGTTTAGGTACCAAGTCAACAAATATTTTATTAAATAATGAAAATCAAAGTTGTAAGCAAAACTGTATGCAAAATAATTTAAAATATGCATAACAAACTTGCTTGGCCGCCACGCCACATTGAATTTTCCTTTTTGACAGATGGATTGAATTGCCTAATTTTTTAGATTCCGAGCCCGCATTCCGCATTTGCACTAGAGTTTTCTCGTTTGTTTTGAATTTTGGTTGATAATTTTCAAACTGCCCAATTTTCGTTTGTATATTGCAGAAAATGTCGTGCTACATAAACAATAAAACGGACCTAAACACTCTGAGGCTGCCAAGTTCCCTTGGAAAAATATGCTCAATGATACCAGTGATGAGGACTATCGAAAAAAAATTAATTAAAAGTGAACAATTATGCAGAATTTAAGACAGATTAAACACATCTGGGGGGGGGGGTTAGAGCAGTGGCGTCTCGTGGTCTATGCTGGAAGGGGTTTCAAAAATAAAACAAACATGCCAAAATGTGTCATTCCACTGCTTTGACGTTTTTACCTGACATGTTCTCATTGTTACCAGCAAAGGTAAAAAAATCAGAGTGAGGGAAATCGGTGAGGGAAGTCGAATAGGGAAATCGGTGAGGGAAATCGAAGAGGGAAGTGGCACAGGTAAAGTGTCACTTCCAAATTTTTAAAAAGTCAGTAATAACAAGATTACATATATGATTGCAAATAATAGTACATTATATACCTAGGTAGAGAAGTTGGTCATTATATACCGAGCGCTTTTATAAACCGAGGCGCGGAGCGCCGAGGTTTATAATGCGTGAGGTATATAATGACCTTCTCTACCGAGGAATATATAGAATTTTTTTTACTACTGCTAGTAGAAAATAAAAAATAGGTTGTAAATCTGTGCTCAAATAATTTTTTCTTGTCGGAAGTGCTGCGCTCTATCAACAGCTTATTGTAATTTTCTATAATATACATACAGGAACCTGCTTTGTTTTAAATTGACAGTGTATAAAATTGAAATTAAACCAATAGAAACCTATTACGTTATGACAATATCCTTGCGTCATGACGTCATTTTCATTATTGACCTAGGTATTTTTTCATTATTTTCATTATTAACCTAGGGAGAGAAATTCAATTTTTGCCCAGGAAAATAGATTGAATAATGACTATTTCTCAGGTTAGTAGTAAAAAAAAAATTTATTCAGTTCAATGGACGTTCTTGCCGTCAATGTCAATCCACATTATCCAATAGAGACAGTTAGCACCAGTCGGCAAGGAAGCGACATTGAGTGATGAGCAGCATTTTTTTTATTTTTGAATCTAGTTTGTTAGTTGTTTCGTTTGTTAGACGATTGCAGCGCAACTAAAATTTTTATTATTATTATTATAATTTTTTTGATACACTTATTAGTCCAGGAGGCAGTGAAATTTTTCAGCATTTATTTTCCCAGTTCGTGTCTATTAAATAGTTTGTTCTCCTGGTGATACAAAGCAAGAATTTTTGAATCTGGATTTTCGGATGGGTTCACAAGATCAATGAAAATACAAGTACGCTTATTTTACCAGACATAAATTTTTGGATCTTCAATTTTTCACTTGCCAGACATATTATCCATACTCACAGATTAGCCGGACTATTTTTTTACGTAACTTCAGTATACATTCTCATTAGTAGACCTATTTTTATCACTGAAAAAAAAAGGACCGTGCATTGGTAAGCTTTAACGCATTTTGCGCCTCAACCCATCGGAAAACCCCCCCTAAAATAGTCATTTTTGTCACAAGTTCCTAAAATGAAGTTTTTCAGGACGAATCATTGCTGTTTCCGGACGAAGCGTTAGCCGAGTCCGGAATAGCAGATGATTCCTGAAAAACTTCTTTAGGTACCTACGTGCGACAAACACTATTTTTTGTCATACGCTTTTTAGAATTCTTCAGAACGCTAACATTTGCAAAATTTCTTGAAATCATAAAGGTGCATCCAGAAAGGAAAAGAAAATCCTAAAAAGAAGCATTTTACGGACTTGAATGAGTCCGTAAAATAGCTGTTTTTGGGAGCGTATGACAAAAATATATGTATTTTGCTTAGAATTACTAACCCTACAATTCTATCCATGTTTTCTGACTGGGAAATTAAGTATCGCAAAACGTCACTGCCTCCTAGACTATATGTACGTCTGATCCAATTTATAATAAAAAATAAAGTGAAATACTTAAAATTCTTCACTAGTAGGTTTTTTAACCCGCCTACATAACAATAATATCCCAAATTCCAATAATAATACGAAAGTTACAATCAAAAACTAGAAAAGTAATAAAGGGATATAAAATTAATATAAAGTTGGAAAAGTTTCCTGGAAGAACTCGATTGTAACCATTCTTTCGTTTTGGAGGAAAAGTCTGCTATATTTTTTGCGCGCCATTTCTTTTTCTGTAATTGAATGTAGTCCTTTTGTCTTAGCAACAGCAAGAATACGATGCCTTAGGGTGGATTTTGGTTGATTTTTTTCTGAGAAAGGCAAACTGGTTTTTTCTTAGCAGGTACCTTTAAGCATGCAAAACAAAGCAATTTATACAAATACAGTACAAAAAATCTCGTTAGCGGTATTTGAAATGATTTTGTCTTGGTTTTACATTTTCACTTTTCTTTTCTTTAAATTGAATAACAAAAAAAAAAAACAATTAGATACTGATAACGGGGAATCCCATCAATGAGATTCAAAAATTAATATGCTTTGAATTGTCACGTAGGTAAGCATAGATATTAATAATCTATATAGATAGCTTATCATATTTTCATCAAATTTAAATAATAAATAGGCTCTCTGGCCTATTGCATTAAACCTAATAATCAGTTACAATGGCTACAGTAAGAATGTTTCTACTTATATTTGCAACTGTTATTTTCGTTGGTTCTGCAGCTTCTACAGAATTATCTCTCTGTAAGTTTCATATTTGATTATCAGAAAAATATATCTTTATATTTATAGACATTCCTTGGATGTGTACAAATGCGAATCAGTGTTCTGAACCATGCAGAGTTAGACTAAGTTACCAGTATCCAGGTTGTGAGCCATCTAGAACACGCTGTTTCTCTAATGGATGTGTTTGTTATTGTATTGAATAAAAATTTATTTGATTAAAGAGGAGCAGTGCTGTAATAGATATTTACTTATATGTACGATAAAAAATAAAAGTTTACATGGCTTTTTGAAGACACACGTGTATATTAATAACTAGGTATTCTCCGCAGTTTCACCCGCCGGTAAATTAAGCAGAAATCGGACTATCTATAAATAATTTAGAGTACTTTATCAGACAATATTATATCTAAAAACGACAATTTATCTGAAAATAACGTAGGCGGCCGCCCTTGGATTTTGGCACAAGAATAAAAATTAAAAAGACTCAATAAACCTTTACAGACAGTGGCGACAATATAGGTCCCGCCGCCATATTCTTCCTAATTTTTATCAGGAATCTAGAAGTAAGCCACTCCTCCGCCGCCATATTCTTCCTCATATTTTTATTAATTATGAATATATAGGATTTCTAATAACCAATCAAAAATAGGACGGCAATTGTGTTCACTGTGGTTTGAGTCGCTGTAGCTTTGCCTATTAGGTTCACCAAAATATAATAATATTTTCCATCAAAAGGTTATACATATTCTAAACTACGGCCGCTTGCGCAAACAACTGACGGAAAATCTGATGACGTCAGCGACAGTGCCATAAACCATAAAGTTGATTCGAAAAATCTACGCCTATAGGGCAAGTACACGATCTGACAGTTTGAAATTATTGACAGTCGCCTTGAGGTAAAACAAAGATATATTTACAGTGGTTTTTTAGGTTTTTAGTTAGATTTTTTTAATTAAATACCTTTTGGGTGGTCCAGAGGTTTCTTGGACATGCCTAGAGTTTGTTTAGTTGTTAATTCTGGCAGTATAGCGCAAGGGATACAATATCCTTCCATAGGTTTCCATCAATTTTAAATAACAATGGGAGGTTTGATTTGTTAGCTCAAGAAAGAAGAGAAAAATTGATTAATGTTGTTAAAAGAGAAGATCTGATAGAAAAATAGATTGAATTATAGAGTCACTATACTTATATATTTGTTCTTGTGACACTTTGTTTTGATTTTCGTTGGAAAAACCCTGAATTTAATCCATTATAGAAAAATCTAACAAACTTCTGGATAAAAGACCACATTATAGACTGGAACATAAACACTTTACTTTAACTGTTTTAAAAGAAAATAACACAAAAATTTGCACAAAAGCTGTGAAAACCGCATAAAACATAACCGGCCTAATCTACACCAATGTAAATAAATTATTTGTTTTACCTCAGGGCGATTGTCAAACTCATTTGTGACGTCACATGGATATGCCCATTTGTTTTTATTTAATAGGGCAATCCAACGACCTGTCAAATAGACATTCAAAATGGAGGTCAATGCCTTTTTATTTTAAAAAAATGCCGTTTTATTGCGATTTTTGATTTGTATCAAGACTGTAAAGTGTTGATTTTTTTTGGAAAATGCATACATTATGTATTGTACTTAGTTGTGGAAGCCGTTCTAATCGCGAGAAAGTCTCGATTCATGCCGTTCTTGCAGAGACAAAACACAGGTTTTTAACGGAGAAAAACGATTTGTCTGTACTTTGTAAGGGCTTCATAGATTGTACACTGAGAAAATTTTTTCATTGTCATACCTAATTTTTCTGCTGCCGTAGCCAAAAATTTTGGCTACATAGGGGACAGCCAAGATCTTTACTACCGCCGAAAAGATAACTTTACTGGCACCGTTTATTTGCGGTAGCAAAGTGACTTTATAAAGAATTTACTCACAGTTTCTACAAGGTCACTTTGCTGGCATAGAAAAGTTACTTTGCTGTCGTAGGAAAGTAACTATGCTGTCCTAGAAAAGAGGTTATATACCCTCAAAAACATCCTTTTTTGCTATTGAAAAGTAGATTGCTAAGACAGAAAAGATATTTGTTGTTGTTATTAGAAATGCTTCCTGAAATAGGAAAGCGTTTGTCTCAGAACAAAAAATTTCTTGCCAGAATCAGCCAAGTGTTTTATTAGCCATGGGAAGTTATTTGTCTCACCAATAGCAAAAATAATTTGCTGGAAATCTTTGGAAATATGTAGTAGCGCGTCCATCATAACAAAACCAGGAGATAAACAAACTCTATTTAAACCCCTAAACTTTCATTACCTGATCTGAAATAATGTCAATTAATGAAAAGTTTGGCGCTAGAGTTGTTTCTGCTAGTTTTGATGGATGCGCTGGCACCATTTCCAAAAAGATTCCCAGCGACCGACACTCGACTTGACTCGACAGCATCCACGATCCACACCATACGGCGATAGCTACTAAACTAAAATGGAAGAAAATGAACACGAAACATATTTTATCGGTTATTTTTGGACCCGAAGAAATCACGGAAATGTCCGAACGGTATTTTTAGTTAAGTTATTTGGCTAGGGTAGCAAAAAACATTACTGTAACAATAACAAAAATTACAGGAATTTTTTTTTGCTGCAACAGTAAAGTATCTATCTACCTTAGAAAAGTTCTATTTCGGAGAAGCAGAAATATTTTCATAAAATTTCAATTTTGCTATAACAGCAAAGTTTGGTTTTGGAATAAGAAATATCTTTGCAGTTTCAATAAAGTAGTTTCAGCAAAGTGGTCTTTTCTGTAGAAGCAAAATAACATTGCTACCTCTAAAACATTTTCCACTGTAACAGCTAAAAAAAAAAACAGCAAAGAATTTTCTCCTGGGACTTTTCTCAGTGTAGCAAAAGAGAAAAAAGATCTGACAAAATCCATATTAAAAAATCAAAAAGTCTCTCTACATAAACGGTGTATGGATTCAAGCCATTAACTTTCCTCCACATCAACTTGTGTCGATACCTTGGATAGCAGATAAATAAAATAAACATCAGAATTCACAATTTGGTTAAGAAAAAACTAAAGAAGAAATAAATCCTGGATAGTACCTACCTAATTGTCCTAATTGTTTAGTAGGTAAAGGTTTGTCACAAAGAAATCATAACTTTTGTAAACATCCGGGTTTTCACTAATAATTTCTTCTCTCCATCTTGAAATACGAAAATTATCTTTCCAAGCACTAGAAAATCATCTAAAAACACCACAAAATACACAAAAAACAGTTTTTTGATGAAAAATGTCACGGTGTTTTGAATTAAATTTATGGCGCCATATTTTTGGCATTGGCTGCCATTTTGTTTGGATTGCTCTATTATGAAAGAACGACCGCGCAATCTTATGCAGCGAACTTCGTATCTGTTCTATCGGTTATCAGAAATGGTGCAGGATTGTAAACATTCTAAATGTTACAATATTATTTTCAAAAATTAATAATTGATAATTTTTAAAATATCAATAAAAATTTACAATTTTTGTTTGTTTGCACTTTTAAGAGATATTATATTTGAACTGAATTACTGTCTATCGCTTTTGGGCCGTTCTACAAAAACAGTGAATTCAACTTTTCATTTCTTAAACAAAATACAGAAGCCTCAGAATAATTAATTTGTTTCTTGTAAAATAGATTTACCTCCTTTTTTTTTCTATGACCTTTTCGTAGAAATGACCTTGTAGGTATGTAGGCATGCCACAATGTCGATATGTGTATTATTGGCTGCCTTTGAAAAATAAACGCAAATGGGTTATTTTTTCTGTTAGACATCTTAGATACAGAGTGGCCCATCGAAAACAGTCCAGCAAAGTTTACGGCTTTAAAAGTAGAAATTTAAAAAAACCATCGGACCCGTAAACTTTTGTTTTCAGGAGGACACGTTTTACTATTAATTTCCTCAACCTTCTAGCGGGGGCGGCTACTGCCCTTATTTTTTCAAATAAGAAGGAAAATGTTGTGATATTTCTTTTTAAAGGGCTATAAATCCTCTTTGAAATGCCGCTGCGTTTTTCAAATTTGAGCTACGGCCGTCGAGAAATTGTGTTTTAACCTTCGTCTTCCCACGACAAAAAAAAATTACGTAGATTCCCACGTGGGGTATATTTGTACCCCATGATAAAAATGATACTTCTGATAATTAAACATGTTTTTATTTATACTAAACAGTTATAATACATAAAATCAACCTATAACAAGGGTACAGTTAGCGAAAAAAATAGTTAAGAAATGGTATTTTCGACCATTGCGGCGATCTTTCGATTTATAAGTCAGATTTCCGCCTTCTTCTCTTCCTGCTCCATAGATACTTCTTGACCAGCTTTAATATCGTGATTTCTAAATTTAGCAGGTTGAGAATCTATTTCCAACCTGCACATTTCATGCAAGGTGGCTACTTGATAGAGTAGCCACATATTCCCACGTTGGGTACATCATTGGGTACATGTGCCCCACGCTATGCAATTATTATTTCCAAAAAATAAATGAATAGAAAATTTTTGATGATCACTAATTATTCCCCTTACTGACACAAAATAAAATTAGTCATAAAAAATATGCACTTTTTGGGAAAATATGCTAGAAAAATTGGAATTTTATTGAGTAAGTAGCTCAGGTAGGTAAGGTTTCATGAAGATTTGTACTTATGACATCGATAATGTCATAACTTGGAAAATGAGGTTTGTCGTAGATTGATTCATATAAATTCAATGGCGTTCAGATTTTGTATTGTATTGAATGACTTCTGATTTAAAAACCGACGAACGTTTTTGACGTCATTAATTTGTTTCAGTCATTTTTTATTTGTTAAAAAATGAAGGCAGAAGTACAGTAATTTACCTGTTATCTTAATAAATTTTGAAAATGCCCGACATTCACCTCCATAAAATGGTACAATAACTGTTCAAAGTGCTCACGGACATTGTGAAGAACATCTGGTGTAATTTTTTGGCATTCACTAGTGATGCGGTTCCGTAAATCTTCTAAGATCTTCCTAATCTTCTAATGTTTAAAACGCAATTTCTCGACGGCACGTTGCTCAAATTTGAAAAACGAATCAGCATTTTAAAGAGAATTTGATACCCTCTAAAAAGATATATCACAACATACCCCATCCCATTCGAAAAAATAGGGGTACCTAGTAGCTGCCCCCGCCAGGGGGTTGAGGCTACAGGGATTAATTTAATCGCGAAACGTGTCCCCCTGCAAACAAAAGTTTACGGGTCCGAGTGTTTTTTTTTTAATTTTTACGTAGAAGCCGTAAGCCTACTTGCTGGACTGTTTTCGATGGGCCACCCTGAGTACTATG